ATACAGTATGATATTATAGTTCATTGCCCCCACATATTTCCGTTCTCTGACTCTGGTTTGTTTACCAAGTTATGTAATCTCAATGAAATTTAGATATGTGTCCAAGATACAGTGGAAGGGCTCTGCTAACTGACTTCATTCTGAGGACAAGTACAAGTACAATTAAGTAAATCTGCAAAGAACTAACTATATTATATATGCAGTAACAGCTTAATCAGCCTGAATTAATACAAAATGTATATATAAGCTTTTTGCACGGGCCACATTTTCTCACCTCATTGTATGTGAAAACTGAAAAGTGTATAGCTAGTAAGTTTCTATCCGAGGGTGTCCATTATATGAAGATTTTGCCACTACCCCACCTAACCCACCACCCCTGATCCACCCTTAGAAGTTCATATATAGCAACCAAATTCAATATCAGATAAATATACCTAATGGTTAATCCCTCAATTTATAAAATACATTGCCAACCCAATGTTTTCACATTCCAGTCTAATGTGATGGTCTGGGGCAATCGGGACGTTAGATTACGCCAAAAGACACTAAATTTCTCAGGATTTTAGGCATCTAAGAAGGATTTTGACTTTTGTAGATGTAAATTTCGAGTGTGAATTTTTGAACATTTATTAGACCTAACCAGGAACAGTTGCGCAAAATGTAACTATATATAGACCCTCTGGCAGGAATCAAACCCGCGGTCCTGTAACCTGAAGTTCAGGCTCTAATTTGAAATAGGGCCTGACACAAAACCTGTCTAGAGCGTGGGACGCCCACATGTTATTTTTAGACACACACGCAATATGATTGACAAGTGTTGTAGATTTCGTTACACAAAAAAATTATATTCTCATGAACATGTCCGCAGAGCATTTTGCTTTTTAATTAAACTTAAAAATTCAAGGTACTTTTATACAATTAAGAGTTAGTTGCTCTATTTAACCGAACAGGCGAACAGCAAACAAAGATTTAATTAGTCAGTTATGTGCACGGCTTGACTGCCAAGCTTTCTCAAGGTCTCAACTCGCTGGACGCGGATATACTCTAACGACTAACGGGCTAATAACAGCAACAATTAAATTCGCAATCATACCACGAAGAAGGCGATGTAGCTCAGAAAACAACGCCGGTAGGAACTGATATTAGAAATTAGACTTTTGCCGGCGAAGCAATTTGGCAGAACATCTTGGCTGTCAACAACAAGCTTTCGAATACATGACTAGTTTGGCTGTTCTTTCAGCGTCGTGTGTATCCAAAATTCGTCAAAGATTTTGATGAAGCCCTTTCAAAATACTGTTTGTTTAATTTATTTTCTGCCATAAAGCATAAAAGAAAAGAAATTCGAAGAAATCGATAATGGAATTTGTTACGTGCGTTTGACCTTTATATTAATTCTCGCCTTGACCGATCTATTTTTAAAACTGTTGTTTATGTGAACTTGCAACCAATCAAAATCCTTCATGATGCTGATCAACCAATCAGATTTCCCGTCCACCAGGTGGACGGGAATCCCACACTTTAGATAGGTTTTGTGTCAGGCCCTATTCTGTGATAGGGTCTGAACTTCAGGTTAGCAGCGCTCTAACCAACTAAGCTACAGAGTCCAGTTGTCGAGCTGTACTAGATACCAGGTGATCTCGTGTTCGTATTTTAGCCAATCAGCACTCAGAAAGGGTTGTCCGAATAAAAATCCATTTTGATGTATTCAGTCAATTATATCTTTCGTTATTCTTTATGAAACTAGTTGAAATTTTGTAGTTATGTTTGGTTATGAGAACTATAGCTCTGACGAAAATATGGAATCGAAATAATGTATATTACAGGAGATATTCAGTTGTTTTAATCATAAAATGGATTTCTATTTGACAACTAGTGCCAGTACTTTTCCGCGTATCAAGATCACCTGGTAGGTATTACAATCGATCAATATTTTTGCTATGTAGTGCTATTTTAAGAAATATCTATAAATCATCATTTATATAAAATAATAGCAATATACCGCCAACAGCCTTCAATCGCTATCACGCAGCCTCCTACCGTATTTTTGTTCCATGTATATACCATAGCTTTTAATTTAGACGAATTTTCTGTGGTGTAGAGGGTAAAATACTGCACCCTATACTCCTATAGTCAGCGCATTGATTCAGGAAATGTTTAGTTTCTTTACGTTTCGGTTCGTTTTGTTTAGTTTAAGCCTAAGAGGACGGTTGTTCGAAAACCATGCAGTTAGTTTATCAGTAGGTTAACCTTCAATTCAAAGCAAGCATCCCCTCAGTTTGTTTATAAAATTGGAAATATTTCTTCAGTACTTTTGCGTGGATCAATAGGAGTTTTGTTTTCTGACGTTTTGTAATAAACAAACGTGCAGAGAGATATATACACAAACTAAAACTACGGGTAAACTTTTAATCCAGGGGCCGGTTGTTTAAATCTGGGTTAGCGCTAATCCTCGGCGCGGTTAAAATTTAACCGGCTGCATGTTTTAGTTTATGTATTTCCACACGTCTGTTTATTTCAAAACTTCAGAGATGAAAACTTCTACTGATCCAGACAATATTTCTGAAGAAATATTTCCAAATTTCCAAGTTTGCTTTAAATTTTAGGTTAGCCTAGGGTTAAGCTATTAATCTGCTTTCGACAAACTGGCCCCATGGTTAGATCTAATCCATACTAATTTGAATTTGCTTTGCTACATGTCTGATTATAGATTCATATAGATTAAGATCACAAGATATGACTGGTTTGGCGTTTGCCATATTACTTGGTCTCTATTTTTTGTTATTTCCTTGTACAGGTAAGGACTCTATTAAACTAGACAGAACAAATAATAGATTAATTGTCACAGTTTTTTCTCGATAAGCACAACAAGCTATTAATAGGCTACTCAAGGTTTTGGTTTTAGGGAATATAGGCCTGACGGAACAAAACATATTTATTTATACTATTGGCTGCTTTTTCGCATTCTTGAATCTAGCTCTATATGACTATAGTGAAAACAATTATAATCTTGCATGGGCATAACGCTTGAGTCCATTTTTTGCAGCGCTGCAAAGTTTATCATGTACATTCAGAAAACAAACTTCGCGATTTTATCTCGCCGTAACTTCAAATATCTGAACACTTGTGTGGATCGTCTGAGCAAACGTCTTTAATTTTTATTCCGTCATATTTTTATAAAAGATCACCGGCCCGGCCTGTTGGGATCAAACAGGTTTCTTTACTTGGCTACAAACATACCACTGGTTAGCTTAACTGCATTTGCTTATTTTTTGTATCCCATGCGACAGTTGCGAGGTGTCTTTTAGCCATCCCCTTTCCCCTGCATGCATGATTCCCCTTGTAACAATATGTGATTGTTATAGTGAAGCACTCTTCCCATACCCCCAATTAAAACATCGCATATTCGTCTGTGAAGCACCCAATAATAGATAAGTTCTAGGAACATTGGCTGACCCTGAAACGTAATATGTTCCATTATTTTTAACTTTTTTAAAATTAGATTTTTTGTGTTTAGGAGTGATCACTTCACCACGTGATGGAACAAAGCGCACATTTGTACCTGGATCAAGTAGGAATATAACATGGACATTTGATGATGCTAAAGCAGCTTACCGGGCTTGGTCTTTCACAAGTAGTAACGGCTTAGGAAGTGGGTTACTTGGAGGAATATTTTCTGATTTTGAGCCTCAAACAACAACGGACGTCTTACCCGGGGTTGACATAATAAAGCCACATGCATGTATGCATGCATGGGCATGCTTATTAGAAGTTATCATATATAACTGATTAAAGTATTTAAGACAAAAAGATTCAAATCTGTTCGATCATTTTTGAAAATCAAACATGCATAATTATGTCAACAACCAAAAATTTTGAAATCCAATGACGAAGACTATGAATTAACGTCGCAAATTTATTCATCAGTTTGGCGGTCGCTAGTTGTACGGCGTCTTCGCCACATTTTTCATACACGTGTATAAAGTCTCGATCAATGCAATATTTTGAAATACTTCTTATATGAAATAATTTTTATACTGATCCACACTGGAAAATTTAAACAATTTGCAAATTTTGGTTTTCTAGACTTTCTAGAAAATTTCCGTGCTTTTAATCGAAGATCTCTATATACTATATAGAATTTTAGAGGTTGACCGAATTTCAAACCTTATTTCAGGTAATTCCTCCGTATTTTCCACAGTATGACAGTGTTTCAAATTTTCTAGTGGTCCGTGCATTGCCTCCCAGAGAAAGTTCGGGGGCCCGGGACAAATTTTTAATTCGGGGGCCCTATTTTCCCCCCAAAAAAGTTGGTTAGCGAGGGGGGGGGGGTGGAAAAAGCTTTTTGACATCGCTATATTTTACTATTATAAAATTGTCATTGTCAATGACTTACTGGCCATTTTCAGTGAAAATCCGCATCAAAATCTAGTTCAATTTTATCCTAAATACCGTTGGCAACAAATTACTTTGTTGGCAACAAGTCCCGAAAACACATAAGTGCATGAGTATATACTGTCAAATGATATCTTTAGTGAACAAGCATTTATTGACTTCAATAATTCTCTCCATGACTGAATTTATTTATTTACTCGTCCTTTAATTTTTAATTTTTTTGTTAAACATGGATCTTTGCCCAACCTTAACTTTACAAAATAACTTTACCGTACATTTTTAGTAAAGCCAACTGTGACAACTTGTTCCAGTCCTGTCACAGTGATTGAAGGGAATGATCTTACATGTGAATGTCAAGGGCAAGGTGGTAACCCTGCTGCCAATGTAATATGGTTTATAGATGACATACAGATCGATAAAACAGGAAAGGAAGAACAAACATTAAGTCGACGTAATGTTAGTGCTGCAGATAGCGGAACGTACAAATGTGTAGCCGAGAGCTATCCCAATGCAAAGTTTAAAGATGAGGGATTAATCACAGTTGTAGTAAAACTTAAATGTAAGTATCGTTGCCGTTGGTACTCAAGTTAAGTATTATACAGTATTTCAGTGTATATTGATAGAACTACTGTTTATAACCTTACTTATAACCCTAGTCTAAATACAACATGCATGCAGTGACTGTTTTACTGACTGTGCAAGAATAGAGCATTGCAATAGAGGATAAATTGCTAACGATTCACATGCATGAACGATTAGCGTAATGGCATGAACTATATATAATCTATATAATCCTTCTGGTTGAAATTGATCTTGCATGTTGCCTTTTGTCCTTCTGTTTTAAATTCTGCAACTTCTTCAGCAACTTAAAAATAGGCCGAAAATAAACATTTAAATTATAAACTGAAATATTGAACTTATCCTCGAACTTAATTCATTTATAATTAAAAACAAGACTCTCTATAAGCGTTAGTTGTATGTGTTACTCATGCAAAGTTCTTTTTTCTTACATTTTATTCAATTAGCCTAACAAGTATTTTTAACTAAACTTTTTACAGAACATTGTTTTTTTTTCTTGCGCTAGACTATAATCTGAGCCTGTTTCCTTAGAACTGCCGCTGACCCACCCAGCCCAAGGCCCACAGCTGTCTCCCAATAATCTCACTGTTACACTCTCCCCTCCTTCTTGAATGTCGTCTCTGAAATTTTAGATCTGTATCTTCTTCAAACGAAACTGTTCTTCGAGTTATAAGTGTCCATCGCAATTTAGACAGTTGATCAGGCCAGCTCACTAGCTAACGCTTATTGTACAAATCCCCTTGAAGAAGCATAGATCTTAAATATGTAAGTTACCTTACTCTCAATTCTATTAACCGTGCTTACTTTAAATAACATGTAATCCAGTACAATTTATTCTCAGCTATGTGAGTAAAAGGGTTGGGGTTTTTTTAGGGGGGAGGGGTTAAAAACATGTTAATGTTCACTATGTTTACAAGTTTCTTTTTGTGCTAGTTAATACGCACGCGTTGGGTAGTAACTGAAAAGGCGGTTGTGGCTCACTGTAATGCATTGGTATACCGGCGGTATCATGGGGTTCAGCATTTACGCTAGGAACATGGGATTCTGTAGTGGACTCATCCATCGGTCCAATCCAAGGTGGATAAAGCTATTGGGAGACAGCTGTGGAGCCTGGGTTGGCAGTATAAGCACTTTTTTAGCATATTCTATCAAATACTGATTTGTTAAAACAAACATTTATTGTGTCAAAGTGACACTTTTTTTTCAAGATCAATATTTTTTCAACCTAAAATGTAGAATATCCTTGAGCACTAAACTTTGTCGGAAAACCATGCCGTCAAGGAATGTTTGGTTAATATTGCATGATAGTATTTTGTTTTATACCAATTTTAAACTTTCTTAAATAAAATTATACTTATTTGAGTGTAATAGTTGTTCTATCATTTTTACGTTACTAAATCAAATATGCAGCGTAACGTCTTTTTTGAGACAGTCAGCATTTGCCTACTTTCATTAGTATGATAGAGATTTTGTTTCTGTTCACAGTTAAACCTAACAAGACAGCCATTAGGTCTACGCCAGAAAGATCTGTAATTGGTGAATCAGTTAACATAACTTGTGAATCTAGTGGTTTGCCTAAGCCACGTTATTCCATAATCCATAATGACACTGAGGTAAGTAGTGAGAGGACGTATACCATATCCAAAGTGAACTGGAGTGATGCTGGAACATATCAATGTACTGTGGAGAATGAACTTGGACGTAATTCAAAGTGCTCTTGTTTGACCGTCATAGGTGAGATACTCAAATCACCGACTATTTATAAAACTGAAAATGTTAACATTTAATGATCTAGTTTACCGACATGTCTTGGCATGAAACATGATTGGACTGATGGGACTGACTAAGGAATGCATATGCATTTGTGCTCCTCATTCTTGTTATTCGTAGTTTCAGGTTACTGAATAATTGTGTACATTTATATACATTATCTTAATACTGGTCTAAGTACACCTTCATGAGTGCACCAGCTCAAGTACACGGCAATAATCATTGGAGTACCAGTGAGTTACGACTGAAAATATTGATCCATTTCAATTATGAACGAAAATAACTTTGCCTCGGCATAATCGTATCTTCATCCTCTTTTCTCTCTTCTTTCTGGCAACTACATTTTACAAATAAAATAATTTTTAAAGAGCACCGCCCTTAAATAAACCCCGCATCCAAAGCATAAAAAAAACTGATGTAATGAGTAGCAGCCTAGTAGGTACCATTTCTGCACCAGAATGATACCTACTGTACTGCATTATTGTGCGATATTCACAAGTGTCCTATATTCACCATCATATATAACCACAAGTGAGCACTAATTATCAGTAATTTAAGTGCAAGTAACTGAAAATTAACTTTATTATGTCCATTTAATCTTACTTCTCTGAATGAATCAGGGCAACCTAATAGAAAAAAATATACAACTTGTTATGCATCAATGTTGACATATACGGTATATAATATCCATAGATATTTTATATACACTAGATAGTGCATTTAATTATTCTGCAATTCAAAAATTGAAGCCGTGATTGCAGACTCAGGATATTCCCATGAAATGAGAAGACTCGTATGTTTTCTATT